TTTGGGCTATTCTGTTACATTAATTAATGTAACATCGTACATAATCTATAGATTAAACAATTTTTTCGTTTATAATTTATTTATAGAAAAAAAAAATCAATGGCCAATTTAAAGGAGAATAGGGGAAAAGGAATAGAGTGAACAAGTGGAAGAGTATAGTGGGTTTTATTTACCACCAAATATAAATATACATATATTAATCATAAGTATATGTTTTTAATTTATCTATGTATTTTTTTTATCTCTATTCGAGTTCGTGCATATTGTCATATAGTTGCATATTTCTTCGATTTTGTTACTAAAACAGGTTTTTATTGTTAGCTATAAATATTAGTTTCACCGCACTTGGTGCGTATGGTTTCGAATCCAGATAGACCTAGAGCAGATAAACTTGAAATAATATAATATACTATAAAAAGAAATAATGATTCTTTTCTATTTCTACTTTTTTTTTCGATTATCCCCTACAACACCGTATCCGACATAGGACAACAAAACCTATTCTAACTCCAGTAGGAAAGTCGAGATCCATATCATTGGTCCGCTACAGAATAAGTTTATAAATAAAACTAGGCAAGATTCAAACCGCCATGCGAATGTTATTATCATTTTTACGGGCTCTCAGATCGTATGAGATTTTTCAATCTTTATACTAAATACATATTTAGTTCTAAAAAGCACTTTATTTATGATTATTTTGTCAGTAAATATTTTTTGTTTCGCTTCCATTATCCATAGTGATTGATGAAACTCATACTAAAAAATATGTTCTGTTATTCTAACTCGCAAACTATATTTTCCGTATTCCACGTCGCTTATTTCAAAAACCCTGTAACTCTTTCTGAAAGTTTACATCCTATTGTCAAAAAGTCTTAGATATACATTAAAGTAAATCCTTTGTGGATTTTGATTCAATTACAACACAATATAATTCCTTATCGCGGTACAGTTATATCATATTCGTTTGATTATTGACGAGTAAATCATTATTGGAAATGTGATAAAGATTCATAAAATAAAAGGATAAATTCATGTAAATTGAAATTTGTTTAAGGTTTATTCTATTTCTTCGTGATTCAATGGCGCCTATTTCAGATCTGCTCAATATGAAAATCTCCTGCATGCAGATCTGTCGTGCCGAACCTATATAAGTATTTTTTTTTTTTTTTTTGCTAATTGTTCGCATTGAATGGATAGTGTAAACGCAACAGAGAATAGCTAAATCATAATGATTATTATAAAAGCCGTTGAGAAAAAATAAAATGTAATGTATTGATCAATTGATTTAAACCACTAGAAATATTGTTATGAATAGTTAGAAAAGCCTCGTTAGGGCCCGATTATGAGTTTGAAAGTATTAATTGAATCTTCTATTTTTTTAAATAAATAAACAAGGATTAAATTATTTACATAAAAGGATATTAAAATGTCAATCAGGAGACGACTAAAGAGAGCTGGATGAGGGATCTCCTTTCGTGAATAAGGAAGTCAAACAAGAACGAGAAGAAGCGCTGCTGGGTACTATTCTACCTCATACCAAAAATGCCAATTCCCTTTAATGTAACATCACATCTGCGTATTGTCAATGCTATGGCAGGTGTAAATAAAAAATATGAAGAGAGGAAAAAAATAGAATTTCCCATAAAATCTAAAGCCCATAAAAAAAAAAAAAAGTAAAAAATTTATTGATGTAAAGTAAAAAAGTAATACTGTGCGTAAAAGTAATACAATTTTATAAATCAATATTTAAGGTAGTGTTTTTTTCTTTTTGTGTTCAATGATGAAGTTTCAACGCTAACTTCATTAACAAGAGAGAAATCGAGTGTGATGTGCCAAATATTTAGTCTACTGATATTTTACTCCTTGTACGAACATAGGCCTCGAATATACAACGCACCTACGATACACGATACGTGATCCTGCAGGAGCTGATGTGATTAGGAAGAGGGGCAAGGATGGTATAGGGGAAGTGGGAGGTGGGAGGGTCCTATATCAACAGGTGGCAAGGGAGAGAATTTGTCAAACGTGCCGTCAGCTCAATGGAATCTTAATGTCTTCTAACGAGGCTATAACCCTATATTAGGAATTAGTTTTTACAAATTCTCAATAATATTGTATTATAAGGACAAAAAATTTAAATTTTTAGAAACTAAAAGTCAATATCAAATGATTACTTTGTTATTCCGGTATTTCCTCGTGTAGACATCACCTTAGTCTTTACATTTTACATACTATTTTTGTTATCTCAACAACAAATATGATCTGTATCATCACAACAAAATATAATGTTTTTTTACTTTCACTTACTATACACCCGAAGTGTATAATAACATGCTTCCAATCTTCCACTTCCAAAAATTGTATTTCTCCTTTCTTCTTAAAAACAGTACAAGCAAAATTAAAATTAAATACTGTTACACAAAATTACATTCAAACACACTTCATGTGATTGGGTTGAGATTTTTTCTTTGTTCCTCGATTGAAATCCCACAAAATATGAATTTTTGTAAAATCTAAAATACAAAACATCGTAAAAATTTCAACTCCCCCTTAAAAAAAATTGTAATGTTACCATGCAAATCCTTTCTAGGAACTAATGTATCCTGATGTAAGGGAAAGTTTTGTGTCAAGAAAAGAAAAGGTATTCATGTTCTCATAGAATATTTAAACAAAACTCTTTCTTTGGAATTTAAGTTTTTGGTTCTTAGTGTTTCAATGAATTTTAGAAAATGGTACGGAATCATACAATCGATCCATGAGCTTTGCTACAATTTTTACAGGAAAAAAATAAACAATGAAATGTCACGGTGTGAACTTTTAGTTTTTTTTTATTTAAACTCCAAGAAGCTGAGGTATTAGTTTTTTTTACTCCTGGATATAAAATAAGTGGATGTTAAACGTATCTTATCGCAAAAGGTCTCAAAACATGTAAAAACTAACACTTCGATAGTAATAATGTATGTGAATATCACTGTAATTCTAAAGATTAGAAAAAAATAATATCTAATATATAAATTAAGATGATGAAAAGTGATAATTTTTTTTCTGATTCTCAATAATTTTGTTAAGGTTTTGGAGGTACGGAGCACCCATGAGTCATGGTTATATAATTACATCATATAATTACCTAATCTAATCACTTCTAAAGAAAAACTATTAGTATTAACCGTTATATCAATTGTCAAGGTTTTAAACTTAGAGTGTCGTATATACATGTACAAGTCTCTTCATTGCTTCTAACAAAACATTTTAAAAATATATAAACACCAATATTCAAATAAATCAAAATTTAGCAAGTTTATTACTTTAAAAAAATTTGAATAGTGTAAAAGTAGAGTTAAAAACTCTACAATTTGAATAGAGTTATATTAACCTATTTTGAGGACATTGATAATACTTTCAATATATCTTACAGAAACTCTAGAGGACAGGTCACCGATAACAACTTTTTTCATTTTATATATATTTGCAAGATTTATTGGGCAATATTAAGACAAAAACTTATTAGATATAAATTGATAAATATAGACTTTACAATAAAATAACACAAATATAAATTTGATAAGAAAAAAAATAATCAAGGACCTAATAAATTATATTTTTTAATCATATAGGATATTTTTTCGGGAGCGAGGTAGCTCAGTGGTAGGACACTACGCTTCCAGTGCTGAAGGCCCCAGGTTCGAATCCCGGCTAAAATTATATATTCTGTTTCATTGACCGTGGGGCGACCCTGGGGTAGAGAGACCCTCCTAGGGCACACCCAGCTCCTATAAACTGGGTACCCTTAATTTAATAAATAATTAAGGGGGAAAACCTGGCAGCTGAGCGTGATCCTAGCACGATCCCCTCCTTGCACAACCGTTGGCCTTGAAACCCTTCATGAGTTGTAGTGGTACAAGTTTTTTTTTTCTTTATTAGTATATTATTTAAATAATTAAATATATCGATAAGGCTAATGCAGTCATCCTCGAATAGTTTTTAAACAGGACAGATAATAAATATCCATCACCTGACTGCAGTGAGCCGTACTAGTACCGTCACTTAGGGTCGAGCAACCCGGACAATTGCCAGGGGGCATCGATTTGGAAGGAGGCGACCTCTATTTGTCAGGATTAATAAAATAAATTACAAAGCGTATGAGAATAATTAATTTTATCCTATTAATAAAGCAACTGGATTAGAGAAACATTGAACGAAATAATATTCAAATACTAATTAATATAAAACCACTTAAGAAATATTTTTTTTTTCGGGGAGATGTGACGTCATTGCCAGGAGACTCATCATGTCTAAGGATGGCAGTAAGTCAAATCAATAGTTAAAAGCCTTATAAGTCATATTTATACATATTATATATTTATATATAAGTCATACTTAGATATTTTTCTAGATATTATGTTTAGCAAATATTGATATGTTAGTCTTGTGTGTCCGAGAAGTCCTCCTATACTGTATCATGTCGAACGGTTTAAAAAAAAAATTAATATGTAATTTTCTTTTATGAAATAATTCAATAAAACAGTCATTAGTAAGGGCCCTTGTCTTATGTGTCTGAATAAACAAAATCTTCCCTCGAGGTTTCAGGAGACATTCTTTGCCACTTTAGCAAATTAATATTTATTTCTTTGCACAATTAATAACAATATTTATCCAGGGTCATTGACATTTAATGTGTTTGTATACCGTGTGGGCGATTCCTGGCAAACCAATCTACTTAAATGTTATTTTAAATCTCAGTTCCTTCGCACAAGCTCTGACTCAATTTCCACTATGTAATTTATTATAACTGTTAAGAGCAACTCCCTTTGTTGTCTTTGAAGTTGCTCCAGTATGCATTTCTACCTAGTGTTATTTACCTTAATTAATATTACTATAATAATTAATATTGATGAATTGAAAAAAAAAAAAGTTTTTATTTTCTTTCTTAAGCATTTATTACAAAATTAATATAAGATCTCTCAGAAATAGGATATATTACAAATATTATTTTATCAAGTATGAAATATCATTTTAAACCAAAGAATGTAACAATGGTAATATTGACTGAAAAAAACCCAGGCTCAACTGATATTGGCTAATATAAATAAATATTGTAAATGAATTAATTTATATTTTTAGTTTAAAATTATATTACTTCGGAAAGGAGTATTTTAATCTATAAAATGTTTTCGTACGCAAATAAAAGATAAATGGATATAAAAGATGAATCGAGCTATTATAATAGCTTTATTCATCTTTTATGTCTATTCATAAACTACCAATAATTATTGGAGTGCTTACAATAGGCAGTTTCTCTACAAGTCTGTCTATGTCTGTACATATAAATTCATATTTACTAGCTTATTTTACTTCGTTTGTCTTAGTAAATTATTTTATAAATTAGGACCCACATTAAACAAAATCGATTAGAATTAAACAGACGATACGGTCTTCTATCCAGGGTACTGACGTTTAAAATTATGTTTGACTAAGAAACTAACCTGTTATAAAGCTTTACTTTAACCGATTTGGACTTATGGCATAGAATTGTCGGGTTCTGATAAAACTTTCAACATTAAAAAAATCAATCCTTCCAATCAAACGTGTTGCCAAGGATAGCTAACCGTTTTCTACAACAATTTTAGACACTGCAAATGAAAACTAAAATAACTTTGACCAAATATTGAGGTACAATATGAATCCTCTGACAGGAATCCTTCAACGTACAAGAAACTCCAACAGGCCACCACGACGATTACGTAGGCCTTGGCCAATAGACCTATTAATCTAATTTATATTCCGGATGTGATGTAATTCTGTCAACAAATTTGCTCATTGTAAGAAAACTCTCAGATTGCACATATAATTTAATGTACAACATTTTTGTTTGGTTAGTAAATAAATAAATGTTATAAATTTAAATCAATTTTATATAATATTTTATTCAGATCTAGATCCACACCTGCCATTAAGTTGACAGTAAGCCGATGAGCTATTATGAATTTATGTATGCAAAGTTTTGTTGATTACGTACCAAAGACACTGATGTTATTAGTGTTGAAATTGAGGGATTGCAATAATGTAGTTTTTGTAAATACGTCTTTTTTTCAGAACCGGAAATGACAAGTGGACGATTTGATTTATTAATAACAAATAAGATTTTTCCTAAAATTACCTAAATGCTCATTGATTTCCATAGCATTTGTACCTCTGTTATTCCATCTAAATTCAGTCCCCAAGTAGTCCATTACAATACATTTATCTATCTGTTTCCTCATTCCCCATAGACTTTTAGAATTTTACGGTTAACAGTCTTTTGACCATTTCATTCGGTGATAAAACATTCATGTTATAGATCCATTAAAAAATTGGGATCAGCCTTCCTAACCACCACTTGGGTCTGAAGACTAATATTACTGTTAATAATTTACTCTCTGCTGCACAGGCGGATATATGTTTCGGGCTGAATACGTGTTATATATATATATATATATATATATATATATATATATATATATATAATATATATATATATATATATATATAAATGTTTTTTAGGTTAAACCTACCTTCACACATTTTTTTTTAATCTTATTTATTGAAAAATATTACAATCTGTCTTATATATATATATAAATGTTTTTTAGGTAAAACCTACCTTCACACATTTTTTTTTTAATCTTATTTATTAAAAATATTACAATCTGTCTCAAGAACATTTATAATAGTGTTCACAGATCACATTCACACTCTATGTACAGTAAATAAAATAAAAAATAAACACACAAAATTAAATCCTGGATGCGCTTGTGCTCCACTGCTATACAATACCTCTTATATATACTTGGTTCTTTATTTAATTAACACAAGATCCCTGTTTTTCCAGACTACCCTGGCTATTCTGGACAAGCTGGACATCGACTCTGAACGACCGACGGAGGAGCAGGTAGCCAGGATGTTCGGCTACGAAGAGGACTACCTAGCGGGGCGCCTTACCACCTGGCAGAGGATAAAGCCTAAGGTCTGGTCTCTCTTCGACGAGCCTTACTCTTCTCTTGCGGCTAAAGTGAGTACCTTATACTTCATATACATATATAAGGTCAAAGTAGCTTATAACTTATATAACGTTAGCTTATAACGTTACTTATAACGATTGTTTTAAACGAAAGCGAAAAACCGTAACAGTCTTAGTCGACTTATGAAATGACTGTGAAATAACATTTTTTTTTTTTTATCGATCTGCACCTGTCACTGATTGTTGACAACCAGCAGATGGTCTGATTAAAGTAACAAACTGACATTTCAGGTATGGGGAAGGACTCAGCAGTATCTCTTCTCTGGTTTGAATCAATCACCATGGTTTGTCAAGGAAGGAGTTATCTCTATGTTTAGTCTCCTCCTCGTATTGATGGGCATACCAGCTGAAGCTATATCTCTAATTAGTATGTTAGTATGTCTGTGTTAATTATTGTGAAATCGTTTGTATAGAGCTCTTATGTGTAGACAGAAGGAAGTCTGTATGTAAGGTTTTATATGTCACCTACCAAGATACTTTAGTTATAAATCGTAATAGTTTTTATTGTTTTTATTGAAAATTTTGAAGTTTGTGTAAGTGAGTCTTTTAAACTATGCCGTATATCTGTGAGGAGTAATTCCATATTGGTTTAAGTAAGTATAGGTATATATTTAGTTTCTGGCTCTGTTCTAGTTTTAAAGATTTGGAAAAGAAGTGAGTAAAGTAATTTGAGTTGTCTATTAAAGAGTCTTCTGTTTCATTTTGACATGTGGGCCCCATGTCATCCTGTCAAAGTAAGAGGTAGTGTACGGTGCCCGTCTGAGGAATTTGGTTGTTTTCAACACAAATTGGAGGACATTTATCTCTCGAAGTGTAAATGTGATGTTTCGATTTATCGTGGTTTAATCAAATTTTCCATAACTTGTACCAGTCTTGTAATTTATCTAAATGATGTTGTAACGTCAGTGAATCTTAATTAGTAATGCTGAAATATATATATATATATATATATATATATATACGATTAGTTGATCGTAAACATTTTTAAACTAAATTCCATCGTATGACATATAGTTTGGGTAAGGGGTGCTAAAAACTTGTGTTTTTTACATTTTTCTGTTTTACTTGAAACAATTAAATGAAAACATATATTTCGAAATCTTTACTGAGTTAACAGAAACAAATTTGTTGAACCAAGTACCCATGTGATTGAAAACAGGACAAAACATTTTAAAATTTTCTTAAAGGTGAAGAAAACTGGAGTTTTACCTATATATATTACTTAAGAAAGTTTAATCAAAATTTAGTTATTAATTTTATGCTCTTTCAATGTATCCAAAATAGTATATGTACCTATAAATATTTTTTTTTTATAAATGATAATAAATTAATAAAAATAAAATAAAACAAACTTCAATCACTGCTGATTTGCCCCTGCATTATCATCAGATACAGTACCGCACGATTGCACAGAGTAACGGGTCTGCTACCATAAAAAATGAAGGGGCAAAAGTTGTTACAAAATGTGGAATTAAAAACAACCCTAATCTTCTAAATAATACGTGTAGTATATATATATACATATAGTACAAAATTATATATATATATATATATATATATATATATATATATATATATATATATATATATATATATATATATATATATATATTATTTAGAAGATCAGGGTTGTTTTCAATTCCACATTTTGTAGTTTAATCAACTTTTGCCCCTTCATTTTTAATGGTAGCTAACCCGTTACTCTGAACAATCGTGCGGTACTGTATCTTATAATAATGCAGGGGCAAATCACTAGTAATTGAAGGTTGTTTTATTTTATTTTTATTAGTTTATTATCATTTATAATAAAAATATTTATAGGTACATATACTATTTTTTATACATTAAAAGAGCATAAAATTAATAAATAATCTTTTATTAGTTTTTAGAGATATTTAGAATAGGTTGTTGAGCAGCAACAAGATAAAAACGGAATATGGTATTTTAGTGAATATTTAAGAATTTATTTCGTTATAAAAATATTACTTCAGCTTTAGTACTACATCAAAAACTTTACATAGATATGAAAATATAGTCTCTGTTCATGAATCAACCTCTGAAACACAAAAAAAAACTACGGTGTGTGCTTTCAACCACACTATAGAAGTTTAAACAACAACAAGAAGTGATTAATAATATGAAATATAAACTATAAATTATAGCTCATTTTAAAGAGGATGGAATGCTGAACATTGCCCTCGATATTTAGTTTCTGACATATTTTAATCCATATTTCCAATAAAACTATTAATAAATTTGGTTTTCGGCATTATTTTTTTCCTTTTCGCCTTCTTAACATGGCATCACGTTAAGATTAAATTTTGAATAATAACTCGTTAAAAAGAGTATGAAATGATTAACATTTACAGCATTTCCGAAATTGGATTTTGAGATACTTTAATCCATTTGCAAAAAGATTTCAACTAGGGGACTCCAGTTACACATCGGAGATCTGACGGCTCAATCTAATTCACTCACCACAAAATAAAAGTGCAAAACGCGCCTAAAGTAGTTTTCACTTTAAAAAAACAACATACATTTGTAGAGAAACTAATTACGATTTAATAATTAAGATTAACTTAAATAAGTTACACTTGTTAAATGGACCGGTTAAAAATCACTAACTGATTTGACAAATTTTCATAAAATTAGTGGATCAGTCAAGAAAATAGAGTTATAGAAGAATAAATTCTACCTGAAGAAATATCTGTTATGTCCACTAAGACGATTTTTATCCTAGTTTTGATCCTTCGCCGTCTTCCCTGGCCCAAGAAAGACCGTGTAGAGTCGAAAAGGCGAGGAAGGAAAGAAAAAAAATTAGGTCCCACACAGAGAATATTTTTACTTTATGGGAAATTTAATTATCTGTCATTTAATGAACAGTAAAGTACATTTACTGAACTCAGGGGAGTCTGAAACGTAAGTATCAGTTGAAAACTAGCCATGGAATACTTGACCCCATTAAAATACTTTCCTCACCCAGCAGTGGTAGGAAATTAATAGAATATGCATACGAAATCGAATACACTGTATCATTGCTAATACTGTTTCAATCATGGTAGTTTTTCTTCTTTTTTTCGGAATGAATGTTTAATTACCTTTCAACTAAGGAAAACACAGATAAAATTTTCATTTCTTCATAACAGTTTTTTTTCCGGTGTTTTCATATATAAAAGTTGAAAGTATATTTTAAGTAGGAGACTTTAAGCATGTTTCATAAAAAACCTATTACATACAGAGTGCTCGAGTTTAAAGGTATTTGGGACCTATATTAAAAAAAGGAAAAATAATGAAATCTGGCTACTCGTTAAACGCGACATAGACAGACCAATACATCGAAAATGAGTTTTTTGACTCAAAAGGTAAAATTCAAGAGCTCTTTAAAACTGTATATCGAAAAGTAACAAGCTCTGCGTAGTTCTGTACATTGTTCAGATGTGTTGGTGAAGGACCTATACCTGCAGATTGTGTTTTTGTAGATTTTGGTTCATCTCTAACATTATTTAAGACTTCGAATTGATTTGGAGTGACCTTAAATTCACTCACCTTTTTAAGTATTCTTGGGCCCCTTCTTCTTCCGATGACCTGTTCCCATGCGTTTCCACTCACTTCGTTTGGTCCTAAAGTATCCATTACACTAGTTATACTGTCAGAAGACGACCAGTAATCACTGTTGGCGGAGGAACTTCTTCACCCAACTGCTACGTTCCTGTCTCTTTGACTTACTGTTCACATTTTCAAATAACGTCAAAACAAGTTTTAGTACTTGCTTAAACTAATGATGTATAAAATAGTTTACAGAGGAAAAATATGTTGCAGTCTTATTTTCGGTGGTTACTATATGATTAATTATATATTGATTTATATTCTATAGTTTATTTAATTGACTCATTCTCAAGTTCCAAGTAATAGTGTTTACCTAAACAAAAGAATAATCCATTCCCAAAACACTGAATGATAATTGATGAACATTATTCATATGATGCGGTTCATCTACATTAGGCGAAGTACTCGGCCAACGTTAGATACTCAGCAATCAATTATCCAGGAGATGTTTATTATATGAGTGCATTTAAATTTTTTTTTATTTAGTTTCGATTTTCATTTTTTGAAATCATAGAATAAGTATACCGAATTAAATCACAACCGTTGGGATATAGAAGAAGAAAAGTTGTTTCCCTCTACATTTTTTATAAAAATTTACCACATTTTGTCATCATTAAGGACACTCCTAATATCGATATAGGAGTTCTTTCATACCATATCATCAGTTTATTGGAAAAAGGCATTAAGTAAAATTTTAATGGATTTGAGTTAATCGAACTTGAAGTTCCTGAACCTTATCAAAAAAGTATTTAAATACCATTTTTATTATTAATTTCCGACAATTAATTAAAATACCTAATACGAGAATAAAAACTGAAACCACGAGGCACTTAATGACTTTTTTCATAGTATGATAGTTTATCATAGTATTACAGTTTATCATAGTTAAACAAAACACTACCTTACTTTTATAACCTAGCAAATACGAGTTATAGGTACCTCACTTCATAGGTTTTATTAACTCTCTGACCAATTAATCCAGTGAATGATGTCATTAAGTACGAGATAATGACTTTATGATCTGTACTTTTTTTTCTTTTCTTAAAAATTTTAACATTCCATTTTAATTATTTATGTATTTATTATAACTTTAAGAAGTGAAAAACGACATTCAATGCAATAAAAGTATGACAAATAAATGACTGACGAATTATATTATAATGATACAATTTAGCAAATTTTATGGTAGGTAGATGATAAATTTACATGCATTTTAATCTCTATTAAATATAATTTGAACTATTTATTTAACTAATTGTTAATTAATTTGTATAATGATGTAGTTTGAAGTATAACAACTGAATTAAAATTAGTTTGCAGGATTATGAAAATGGCCCCTGAAGCCGAAGTTTCGAATAAATAATACATGACGTGAAAACTGTGTACATTTGGTGATCTATGGACTAATATTTTATAAACAAAATTTTAAAAATAGCACCGAACCTAAACGATAATAAAAACAGAACACTAACTTATTTTTATAACCTTGCAGTTACACACAATATGAGTTATACGAACCTTACTTGGTTGGTTTTTTTTAACCCTCTGACCAATTAACCCAGTGAATGAAGTCATTAAGTACCATATTATGACTTAATGCTCTGTAAATTTAGAACATCGTACACTTAGCGAAGTAATTTTTTATAAAAAGATTTGTATTATTTGTATGCACTTTTGAGTTATTGTATCGATAAATATGATGAAAATTAACAACTACGTACCTTCAGTTAAAAATCAAGAAAAAAGTGTACTAAGTGACTTTTTGCAAGAAACCGACGATATGTACAAAATATAAATTAAATGGAATAATAGAAGCGTTATTTGTTCTGGCGTAAAATTACAAGGAATAATTAAATAACAGAGTTATGTAACCTTAGAATTAATACAAAGGGGTTATATATTCATTACATAAGGAAACAACAACGGGATCAACTTGGTAAGAAATACGTTTGTATGCACATTGAAGGGAATAGTAGGATCGAAGCCATGTGTGTATTCAAATGATCCATGAGCTTTACGAGGATACCATTCATAGTTAATAGGAATAGTACAAGCAATAACAATCAGGGTCAATTATAGTCAGATTCGTATAATAATGTTTTATGACTTAGGCTATAACTGCCATTAGAATATGGGTCATCCCACTAATTGGTACGAATTGATGTCCCAAGATAATTGCGGCTTCTATTATGATTTTTTTAATTACTTTTATTATTGGTCCTATGAGAGAGATTGTAATATTTCTCAATAAATAAGTAATGAAAAAAAAAAAACCTTTTTATTAATATCATTGGAAACTTCAGCGCATTCAGCTTCGATTTCAAGTATTTTCATCTTAATTATCAATTTTTTTTACGGTTACACGAATTCATATTGGCAAAACGATGTACATGTTTCCATCACATAACATGGCAGCAAGTAATTTTTCTATTTCCGCAATTATTAACTCTTTTTTTTTACAAGTGGGTTTGATAAATTGCGCTGTTTAGTTTTATGTTTAAAAAAAATATTTTAAAAAATCCCATGATTATTCTGCGGCATAGATTTGGTCTATACAGTTTTAGAGAAAAATAAATAACATCAGTTCCGAGCAATATATTTATATTTCTCAAGTTTCCATCTATGTCCGATTAATTACTTCTTTCCACAGGAATTCAGTGTTCAATTCTTAGTTTTCCAGGAACCATGAACAGATGCTGATGGGTACAAATTTTCCTTATGCCTAAAATGCCTATTTTCTTATTAGTTACTGCACATCTGCTTATTGTCAAACTTATGTTGTTGTCAAGTGTGGACGGAAATATGAATTTAAAAAAAAAATTCACGTTAGATGTATTTAAATTAGTTATCTTAACTAAACATCAAATTTGAGAAGGAGTTAGTCGAGGGTGCGGTCAAATAAATAAAAAAATTAAAATATATAAATTATTTTAATTAAAATTTATATATTTTAATTTTTTTATTTATTTGACCGCACCCTCGACTAACTCCTTCTCATATTATATTAACGGTCAACCATCTTTACATCATTAAACATCAAATTTCTTTGTTGAAAATTGAAAATAGAAAACTGATCATGAGTTGAATTCTGAGCATTTCTTATTTATTTTTCTGACCAGAAATCTATTTCCCTCACCTTTGTGATTTTAATGCGTGGGAAAAAATTACCCTTATGCAATATTCCAATTAAAATATTTATGGGGCATTAAAAATATTGAAAACAGTACTGTTTAGAAGCATAATTAAACATTAAACTACACCAATATGAACAGAAATATTTCCTTAAATCTAAAATTAA